TTACAAGAAAACTTCTGGCTAAGTAGACAGGGTGGGGAGAAGGTGTGTGTTTCAACTCTGGCTTGTATTCCCCTTAAATCTGGAAAGGGAATATAGTTCAGCCTCCTGAGGATTAATTGCCTTTTGAAAAACACCCAGTCTGATCCACATAAGGAATGTTATTTCTTCCTGTAAGATGGCTTTGACCATAACCCTGGCCTTCTTGTACTGAAGGTGTGTTTGCTTGACTTTGTTACCTTTAAGCTGATGATTTAAAACGCCTCTGCTGGGGCACATGGGTGACTCAGTCGGTTGAGTGGTTGAGCATTTGGCTCTTGATTTCGGGTCAGGTCATGATCTCACAGTTCGTGGGATGGAGCCCCGAGTCGAACTCTGTGCTGACAGTGTAGGGCCTGCTTGGGATTCTCACCCTCTCTCTCTCTCTCTCTCTCAGAATGAATGAATGAATGAATGAATGAATGAATAAAATTTTAAATGCCTCTGTTTTCTTTCCTGTCTATAGGAGTGGGAAGCGATGGTGTGGTGGGCGGGGAAGTGGGGTTCGGCAAGTAGAGGGGCAGAGTGCCAAGCTGTAGGAAGGGCAGGGAGGAGACCGGAGCCTGATGGCCTCAAAAGCCATCTGTACCCTTGCTCCCTTTGTCTCTGCTTCTCACTGACTTCGGACTTCATTTCATTCTCTCCTTTAGTAGGTTGGCCTTCTTCCCAGGGCAGTACACATCTTGCACCTTCAGCTCCTGGAGAGGGGCTGACTCAGTTCTGTTTTAACTGCATCCTAGAGGAGGCCCTCTCTCGAAGGTCCAGTGTGGGCGAGGCATAGAGTTGCCACATAAAATATGGGATGCCCATATATATTAGAAGCTCAGAGAAACAATTCATCATTTTTTAGTTATAAGTATTTCCCCAAAGTTTCATGGGATACACTTACACTAAAGAATTGTAAATTGGTTATCTGAAAAGCAGGTTTAACTGGACAGCCTATATTTTTATTTGCCAGGTTTGGCAACCCTAGTCAGGAGTCGGCTCTACACCAAGTGGCCCAGAGCCAGGGGGTTGGGGTTCTGTCCACCCTCATGTCAGTTAGTGGTGGCCAGTGGGCTAGATTGTGTGCTCGCTGCTGCTCACTTGCTAATGGGTGGGGGTGGGGGTGGAGGTGTTTGCGAGGCTGAGCAGACAACCCCATCCCTGGCTACTTACACTAGCGGGTCCTTGGCCCTGAATGGGCTTTCTACCTGCTCTCCTCCCCCCCCCTCCCCCGGGTGCTGAGCACCTGATCACACCCCTACTCTCCAGCGCCGTGCTCTGTGGCTCCCAATCTCTGTTCCTTGTGTCGTGATTCAACATGAGGAGCAGGCGCAGGTCAGTGGCTTCTGCAATGCATTGCGACATTTTATTAAGGGTCTGGCATGTGCTAGGCGCCAGTACGGATCTGGCTGGACGGAATTCAGCCCCGAATCCTCATATCTGCTCCATGGTTGTCTTCCATACCTGTGGCCCCCAGCACCATCTTACAGGGGGTCCAGCCCTTTTCTCTGAGGCTGTCTCCCAGCACTTTCACATGCCGAGGAGATGAGTGCTCGTCTCCTTCTACTTCACAGCGTCCGTCTGCACGAGCATGCGCCTTCCACCCTGCCTGCCTGGTCACCGCCAAGCCTCACATGTACGTGGGGGCTTAGCTCTGGGGGGTGTTAGTGTGTCAAGGTGATCCTACCCACGAGGGGAGACCGTGTTGGGGCAGCTGCAGCGGACAGGACACCGGGTCAAGACCGCAGGAGATCAGAGTGAGCTCACCCAGGGAAGCTGCCCCGACGACATCTTGGGACGGTTTGCTAACAGATGGCTCCAGAAGGGCGAAGGCATCCAGGCCTTCTCTTCCCCTGAGCTCCGTCTTCCTGCTGGACTCTCCTCCTCTCCCCTCCGCTTGTCTAGGATTTGATCTCCCTTCCTTTCGTTTCAAGAGCACTTACTTGCACTGGACGCCTTGCACACTTTTTCCCCCATTGTATCGTTTTAACAACACCTCTCCGCCCAGTGCAGCAATTTGGATTTAAAAGTGGAAACATTAGGAAATGAAAAACCTTAAGGAAACCCAGCCAGAGAGTGACGGGCACAGGCTTTTAACCCGGATCTTGGGACTACAAAGTGTGCATTTGTAAGCAACACCCTATACTGCCATTTGGCCCTCTGCGGATGAAATTTCAGATCGCACGGTATGGACACGGACGGACGCGTGGGCAGGCAGGGACTCGGGGCAGCCAGCGACCCCGCTCTTCGAACGCGATCCGTGGTCAGACTCGGTACCGCGACCCCTTCCTCTCTCCTCCGGTGCCGCGGCCCGCCCTGCCCACGGCACCCCTTCACCACCCGCTTCCGCTCTGCCCCTTTGTTTTCCGTTCATTCTGCTGTTGGGTTAGCTGTCTCCCCCCCTCATCTGGGGAGGCATTATTACTTTGCAAACAAAACGTGTCCTGCTTGCCCTGGAAGATGGGCTGTCTGGAGAGATTTCCTGCGGACTGCTGTGCTCATCCTGGCTCACGGTGCTTGTAAACTGCAGTCACAGAGGGTGGCACTTCCTGCCGGAGAGAAACCTTGTCCTCTCCCTGACCTCTGTCTTATTATCCCTTGTCGTCCATCTTGGAGTCCCTCTCTGGGCTTGCGCTCAGGCCTTGTCCTCAACCCCCGGGGTGCCTGGGCTTGCGCTCAGGCCTTGTCCTCAACCCCCGGGGTGCCTGGGCGGACAGAAAGCCACACCATTTGGAAGTGGCAGGGGACAGACAGACTTTGCGAGGTGGGACGCATCCCGGCCTCAGTCCTGCGGCTCCCCTCTCCCAGCACCGCTGAAGGCCACGGCTTCGCGCTCCTGAGCCCAGCGTGGTCACTTCGGTCAGCGGATAAATAACGGTGGAAAGAGCAGGGGTTCCTTCCTGGCCGCCTTCTAGAACCTTCCGTGAATGGCATAATTCTCGTCCCCAGCTGCAGCTGACAATGTGGTTCAAGGGCTGCGCTTCCGACAAACGCCAGCCACAGTGGCTCCTTCCTCACTCAGCTCCAAACTGTATTTTGCCTCCGGCCTGGGAATCTCTCTGTCTTTCCTCTCTCTGTCTCTCTGTTTCTCTAGGCCCCTCAGTCACTCTCTTTCCAGGTTTTAAAAGGGGGAAGGGGTTGGGAGGCAAATCCAAACCCTGAGTTTTGAGTGGGGAGAAGCCTTTCACATGAAGAAAGAACATACGTTAATAGCTGGGAAAACAATGGTAATATTTAATTAACCTTTTGAAATAGCTGATCTGCAAATCTGCACGCGTCAGCTCATCTTCAGAACAGAGGGACTGTGTGTGCGGATGCCAAAATCAACATGCCGGCCCGTGCGTTTCTTCCGTGGGGGCTTCACAGGGGGGAAAAGCAAGCCCCGCTACCCCCTTCCCCCCACCACAAAATCAGTTGTTTTACTTTAAAAATTCATGTGATCCAGCTGCCCTCGTCAGAGTTGGATGTAGCCTGTTGTGCGACACATCTGAGGACCCCAAGCTGAAGCTTGGCTCCTCTCCCTGTCACTGTAGCAGACAGGCTGTGGGCCTCCCGGGGGCCTGAGGGTCAGTTCCGATGACAGCAAAACTCAGCTCTCTCCCGGCACAGCGCATGCCCACAGGACAAAGGGAATTAGACTCATCCGCAAGTGTCAACTCTCTGGGTTGTTTTGTGTGTGTGTGTGTGTGTGTGTGTGTGTGTGTGTGTGTGTGTGATTTTTTTCCCCCCTTTTAAAGGTGGTGTGCGCTCTTAGTTTGAGGAGTCATTTGGGGAGCGCCTGGGTTGGATCATTAAAATATCACCTGGTTAAAGTAAATCAGTGTTGATGGGATTGTTTAAGGTATTCCCCCTTGCGGAGCTGGTGTGTCACGCCGATCAACTTGTTACTCTCATCCCGGGCTGAGTGGACCCCCTCTTTCTCTGCATCCCATACCCGCATTAATGAACAAGGCTCACAGTGTAATCCGGAGCCTGGGTTGAGGGGAGGTGACTAATATGTTTCGTTTCCTTTTACCAGCAGCAGTAGCAGAAAGCATTAGAGAGGGTGATATTTTGCTTTTTGGGGACTTCCAAAATGGAAGAGGGGCGGACATGAGGAAAGCGACTATGGAAGAGTTGATTTGTACTTGTAGACTATACAGGCACAGTGATTAAGCAGCACGATGCATTTTGAAATACTAAGAAAAATTGCTGTAACTTGTGAAAAGCATTTTGTTGTTGCTTTTGTGTGTTTCGAATCATCAGAGAAAAAAGGTTTGGAGCTTTTAAGAAACGTGGCAAAATCTGCCAGGCTCTCGGAGGAGAGATTCAAGGCCTATGAAGACTTGATCAGGCGGGAAGATGCACAGTTGAACAAATAAAGCAATTATTTGGTTGTCAAGCTCTCTTTTCTCCTCTATTGGAAGAAATATGTCTTCTGAGCACAGTTGGGTACAACAATTGCAAAGTGATCTTATCTTTGTCATTCTAGCAAGGTCAAGGGATGCGGGGATCAAGAAATGAGGCTAGAATGTGTGCGATCTTTCCTGAGATGGCCAGGACAGTGACTTTCCAGAAGAACTTTCCAGAAGAAGTAGCCCATCATTGAGGACCATAAGTCCCAGGAACAAACCTAGCCTTGAGTAACTCAACTCACACAACAAGGACAAGGGCATCAACAACAATGGCCCAGAAGTATGATAAATATCACACCTGCCAGTGGCAATGGCTGGGTTGACAGCCAAGGTCTTTTCAGGCATGGAAGGAAATAGGAAGTAAGGTTTCCGGGAGGTAGAAACCACTCACTCTACTCCAATCTCGTTCTCGGCACTTTATATGCCTTATCTCATTTAATCCTCACAACAAATCTATGAGGTACTTACTAGTGCTAGCTCCATTTTACAGGTGAGGAATCCGAGGCGCAGAGAGGTTAAGTAACTTGCGCAAGGTCACACAGGATATACTGACTCTGTAATAATTGAAGAGTTGAGGAGGAAGGTATCAGTTATATCCAATGGTTTCTGTATTTTTTAAAATGCATTTTCCGTTTTCTCTTGTCTTTGTTATGTTTGGTAATTGGCCTCGGCTGTCCAACCTGACCTTCACAGGGTGTAGTAGCATTGAGAGCCTTGGGTGTCAGGATCTTCTGAGAAGCCAACCTCAACCCCTTCATCCACTTGGGGTGCATGGGTCTTTCTTCTGTGGGAACAGAAACAGGGCAGATCTTAGATTATGCGGGGAGAGCATATCTATCCTGAACACACTCAGGATAGCAAGGGGAGAGGGAAGCTCTCCACGAATGTAGAACCTTCCTGTCCCCTCTCGGCTTCCCCCCTTGAAAAAGAAAGCTCCGTTTCAGGATGGACTTAGAAAAGGAAGCAGAAAGGCAAACCAAAGGAGACAGTTGTAGGAAAATGGGGCCATTTTCCCTACTGGACCGCCCCCGCCCCCGCCCCCGGGGGGGTGTAGTGCCCCGTCTGACCACTAGACTGAAGACATGAGTGTATAAAGATAGTGCCCCCTCTGGTGCCCTGAGAGCTTCAGATCTCAGAGCCTTCCTAGCTCTGATACATGACCTGTTTGAAGTAACTTGGGTTCTGGCCTGGGCATGTTTAAATCGCCCAGAGCAAATACAATATGGCAAGCGGGATAGTTTTCCAGTAAGGAAATAGCACATGGGTGTGATATTATGGGGTCCCTCAATCCAGACAAAGTGTCCTACGTATGGGCCATAACACAAAGAGGCTTAAGCCAGCCCTCAATGGATTTATGTTGGGAAAGCCCCTAGGCTCCTCTCTAGAGGAGTAGCCTCTTCACCGAGGGCCCCCTCCGACGTTCAAAACTAGAGGCCACCAAAAGGAGCTGTGAATGATCTTGCCACTGGTGACCAGAGTGGTGGAAACACCCACCAGAGCCCAGGGGCTTCTGGGTCTCCCATGGATTCATGCCTGTCTAATTCCCTGGGCTGCGAAGCTCTCACATTTAGTGATTAGCTCCCTTGAAAATCTAAGTTGACTCCCAGGGGGTGGGGGAAGAAAACTGCACGTGCATACATAAAAGCGGAGGCTCTATGAATGCACGTGTGCGTGTGCGTGTGTGTGTGCGCGCGCGCGTTTGTGCCTGCGAGCGCTGAGAAGCTGGGGGCCTGAGCAGTTTTCCGAGATTCCCCAGAATACGGAAGGCTCGTGGTGCATATGGGAGAACTGACAAGTCTACCAGAAGGTGAGGAAATGGCTGCAAGCAACACTAATGCCACTCCATCTGGAAGGAGGGGTACTGTTTAGTACGTCTGGAAAGCATTATTTCTGCAAATAGCTCAACCTCTATCAACTTTCAGGCAGGGATCCCGATCTGCTGCCAAAATGAGATCTCCCTGACGGCTGTGGGGTAGGAGAGGCTGAGCAAATGAACGAACAGCAGAAAGCAGGAAATCTGCGGAGGTGGCAGCCGTTAAGGTACCACACAGCAAGCACCTGCCTCTCTCCAGAAAGACAGCCGGGGCTTCACATCGCATTAGGCCAGGGCTGTGCTCGGGGGTGGGCTGGACCTGGTGGGATGTGGGGCTGCACCAGCCATCTCCAACGTTGTCTCGCAATTTTTTGGGCTCAGCAAAGCCCCGAATACAGTTAGCCAAATGGCGTTCCCGCATTGATTTTTATACCCGTGGGTATTTTGAAGGAAATTAAATCCATGTGTTTCTGATTCAGCTGCCATTAGCACATGAAAACGCTGTTTTGTGAGAGTTATGGTATGCCGTGGGTGCCTTCACACAGTGCCGCTCAATGCCATGAAACCGCCTAGCCAGACACGGAGCAAGGAGCCGGGTGCGCTCTGCTCTGTGCCATTTCCCTGCCTATCCAGAAGGCAACATGTTTTTGTCATTTGCATCCTTTCTGAATGTAGCACAACACGGTGTCTCATGCCTGTGAATCATCTATCATTTCCAGTGCGAATGAAGCCATGTTAGTGTGGAGGACGAGAAAGTGCCTTTCACCACTGATAGCTGGGGGGCACTCGTATTGAAATGGCCACCGAGGCTGGCGCTGGTCTCCAGATCGATGGGCAAAGAGGCCAGCGGAAATGTATTCCCAGGAGGGCGCACGCAGCTTCTGGTCTGCACCGCCTCGAAGCGGATAAGCCTGTGCAGGCAGCCAGAAACGGTGGGGTGGTCCTGGCCTGGGAGCAGGCGAGGAGGGGCTCTTACCCGGCCCTGACATTTGCCCTCTCTGAGCTTCCTCTCTAATGATCATTGGGTCAAGTGCTATTGGTTTAGGGTCCTCCCTAGGCTCGACATTCTATGATTAAAAACTGGCCCCTGTTTGTCCTGAGGTATCACATTCATTGACGTATTAAGTCCCTAGAACGTTCTGGTATGTTTTATGCTCAACACTGAGGACCCATGAAGAAAGGCATGCTTTTGCCCTTGAAGGGAGGGAGGGGACTGATTTGTAGAGTATTGGCTCTGAGTCTGACCCAGTGCTGGGGGCTTTATTCGCCATTCTCATGTCATCTTCACAAGACTATTCCAAACTAGGCATGATTGTCCCCATTTTATGGGTAGAATTGCCCTAAGGATCAGGAAGATTGGACAGTTTGCTCAAGGACACAGAGCTTGTAAGTGGAAGAGTTGGGGCATAGAATTTCTTACCACTGACCCCAAAGCTCAGTTATTGTCCTGTCTTCCTGTGTCATACAGCTTAATGTGATCAGTGTCAAATATATATGTACAATACTTAATGTTTTATGTCTGGAATCACAGAGGGCAGCGTGCCTAATTCTGTCTTGGAGACATGGGGGGATTTTACCGAGACGATATTTGCGTTGGCTTTTAAAGGATGGGCAGGAATTGACCAAGTGGGGATGGAAAATGGATTTGCAATGGTAGCGGGCAGGGTGTGCGCACGATACAGGGTGGAAAGGAGAGCTAGGTGTTTGGGAAGTGGAAAGTCTGTCACCTACCTCATTTCTGCCACATTAAATGTCTAAACTGCTGAGAACATCCGGGTCACAGTTTTCCTGTGGACAAACATATATCTTGATTGTATACTTACAGGAAAGGTAAGATCACCAGTCTTTTCTGACCTCCAGTCTAGTCTCACAGTTCCATCTATGGGACTACATTGGACACCATGTTTGAGGGCAGATGACCACTCTACTGGTACCGTTGACTTTGACTTTCCTCAACCTTGACTAACTTTCGGTGGAGGAGGGGTTCCCTAAATGTTCCTCCACCCACATTATCATCAAAGATGGTTTGCTTTTCCCTTGCAGTTGGAGAAAGCTGAAAGCACAGCTGGTGGCAATTTTGCTTTGAATTCGGAGGTTGCGAAGCAAACGGGAAATTTCATGCCGCAGCCGTGGTGGGGGCCGACTGAGCTTTCGTACTTACGTGGTGTGTCCACAACCTGCTTCCCGTGAAATTGCCTGTAAGTGTGGACAACCTGGGGAGCCGCAGCTGAAATGCTTGTCTAGAAGGCTCCCTGGATTTCTCCACAAGGCTAGGCCCAGCAATTAACAAAACCGCATTCTCCTAGGCCCTTGACTGGTAGAACTGGCTCGGCATCCTATTGTACAGTCAGATTGCTTTCAAAAGCAGTCTGAGGGGTCCACTAAGAGCTGTTGATCTCATCAGAAGGAGGACTCCTGGCCCCGAGCTGTGCCGTGCTCCTGACCGAACGAACTTGCTTACTTTTGACTAGAATTTAACTTGCAGTTCGAGTACCTTTGGTGACATGTCTGTGCTCTTAATGATGTCTAAATTCATCTTTCTGGTGCTGGTGTCAGTCGATTGTGAGAATCTAGCACTCTGCTTGGATTCAGGGCATTAATCCATCTTGTCCAGAATCTTCTCCTAAAGGAGATGCTGCATCATCTGCTTAATGAAGAGGTCAGACCAGATCATTGCTATGGGGCTATCTGGCTTTAAAATGTTCTGATTTCTCTTGTTCTAGCTGTGTGAGAAGTTGAAAATCGCTGTTTGCTCTCATTCAAAGATAATCTCACTCTCCCAATATCATTCTAGACCAGTCTAGGTCCTACGTCCCTAGCTGTCTCTTTTTGCTCCCCAGACAAATCCCAGTTTATGTGGTCTTTTCTCAGAAGGACGATTTCTCAAATACATCATGCATGCGTACCTGAAACTCTTTGGGGCTCTCTCCAAGGTCTTTCTATCAAACTTCCAAGCAGATCATCCATGTTGGGGTTGTGTGGCTGGGTATGGATAGAGTCAGGCTCTGCCTTTCCATTCTGGGAAATTGCAGCCGACTATCTTCTCCATTTGGGGTCTTTTAGAGTATAGGCAGCATTAAGAGTGTTATAAATATGGCGGCCAACAATGAATGTCCTGGACCCGTTCCCCTCTTGGCTGGTGAGGAGAGAGGGCAGTCAGGTGGCATGGAGACATTGTTGGCAGGAGTCATCGCTCCCTCTATTTGGGAAGGAAGGACCATAAATGGTGGCTGCCTTCCAAACTGCCAATAAATAAGTAAATATAGAGTGCTGACATTGGTCTCCCTGCCAAATGCCAGGCTGCTTCTCTCATCTTGGGGGAGATGAAAGAGAGAAGGTTATTGAATAGGCTGTCGAGAAGTAGCCTCAGTTCTACTTGGAATCTTTCCTCCTTTTGGAAGCCTTACAATCGGCTTTCTGGTCCTTCTTGGGGAGTTAGACAATTCTGTCAAACATGAGATTGTGTTAGCTTATTCATAATAATTATCAGCCATAGGCTGAAATGGAGCTGTTTCTAAGGATGAAGTGTTGTCAACAGATACTTAGGCTACAGTGTGGAATAACTGCTGAGCCCCCGAGAGAGTCTGTGTTCAGCGTGCAGGGCTCGGGGGGAGAAGAGAAGACAGTTGAAGCCCGTTCCAGGCAGACACCACCACCTTAGGGACACTCAGCTCTGGGGCTCAGTTTCCTCTCTATCCACAGACTCACAAGGTTTTCAAACGTCTGCTTCCTGAGTTAGAGGATTTTGTGCACTAAGTTAAAAGTCAGACAAAATGGTGGCCGTGCTTCTATGTAAGAAAGGCGTCCAGAAGACACGTCTTGTTTGCTTCTGTATGCCTCTTGCTTGGTATGGTGCCTGTCACATCATGGGCACTTAACACATATTTGTAGAATGAGTGGATTCATTTGGAGATGCTTCGCTTCCTGTCTGCGGGGATCTATAATCTCAGGCTCTTCCTGTGTTTTGAATTACTCTAGAGCCACACTTCTAGCATGTCTTAAGCTTAAGATTTCGCTCTTTCAGTGTTTCTTTTGCTGGTGACCTTCACCGGCCGTTGTGCAGGGTTCCTCATAAAGCTGGTCCTTGCCATTCTTCTCGTATCCTTTTCCTGTTCTGAAGTGTGTTCCTACAAATGTCATGCACTTGCTCCCTTTTATTATTATTATTAGTAGTAGTAGTGGTAGTTCTAGTGGTAGCAGTAGAAGTAGTAATAGTAGTAGTAGTACCAGTTCCCTGCTTTCCTGTTTCCTCTTCTCCTTTCCAGGAAAAATTTCAAGACCCTCCAGTACCAAGAATTCACAAGATCTGAGAAACTGAGGAAAGAGAAGGCAAGGGGCTAGTGGAGGAATGAATGGCACCATGACTTCTCTTTTCTGAAGACCCAAGGGGGTTTTCCCCCTTGATGTCTGGTCTCTGGGGCAGAGCCGCTAGTCTTAAAGGGCTGTGCCCTTTAAGACACTTCAATTTTCCACTACTGTTTTGACAGCTAAAGGGCAAAGGAATTAACTTTGTGAATCAAAGTCTTCGATAGTTTGAGTACCTCTTTTCTGTGAAGTGTGATTTATTATCTTCCTATTAAGGCATGGTGTGAGGGCATATACACACACACACACACACACGCGTGCGCGCGCGCGCGCACACACACACACACACTGGATATTATGGAGTTTTTGATGAACTTGGAGATCATTGCTTTCCCTACACGTTCTCATGGCCTCTGAATGACCCAGGAGTTCCTATTGATGATTTTGAGATAAGACTTTCAGGTAATCAGGGAGATTCTGTTTTCTAAGAAAGGCTGGTCTCTTCAGAACTCTGGTTCCAAAGCACTGTGGATTATTGGTGTGGACGTTTCAATGGACGGCCTTCAATTTGGTGGCTGGTATAGCTTCATGGGCAGTGTTTGCTGTACCGTATCAATCAAATCAGATAAATGTGCCACTTACCTGCTTTCACATATTTTTAAGACTATAATAAGCATGTTTATATATATAATAAGCATGTGTCTATAAGGAGATGGAAGCTCTCGTGACTGGCACCCCCCACCCCCGCCCCCAGGGCTCTTAATATACTTTCACTATTTATATTTTTAGTTGCTTGGAAGTACCCGGAGGCTTAGTGGTAAAGGAAGAAAGTTGTAAAAATTGAATAAATAAATAAATTAAAATTTAAAAAAATCTGCGTTAGTGATGTCTGACTTCCTCTATTCATGTTATTGCTACTCTTGTCGCTTTTTGCTTTTTGTTTTGCTTCTTGACTGTTGTTGTTTTCCACCAAAGCTGTCATTTATCGTGAGAACAAGAGCAGCCATGTGTTGATTTTTCTGGATTCTTTTTGGATACTATCCCAGTGCTAATGAAGGCCCTTCCAAAGTGCTAAAAAGCGGGTGCCAAAATCGGTTATGCTGAAAACAATAGAGGAAGAGTGGTGCACAGACAGCGTGTATATAACCGTATCTGTGCACACACTCACAGATACTCGAGTTAAAGCGGTGGGTGTGCAAGTCCCTACGTTGAGGCAGACACGCAGGCACATTTTGCAAATATCGAATGCGTGCCTCGGAGCTCCGCTGAGGACAATGTGCGGCTGCATTTTTATCAAAGGACTTTTTATGTCAGCTTGCAGAAAATTTTCATGGATCAAAGGATGCACAGAATTCCTAGATTTTGCAGTGTCCTAATTTGTCAGTTTAGAAGCTACTAGAAGTAAACATACACCAACTTGACACATTTAGATGTGGATCTAAAGATTGGTATAGATCTTGTTGTTTTTTAATGTTTTATTTATTTCTGAGAGAGAGAGAGAGAGAGAGAGAGAGACAGCATGAGCAGGGGAGGGTCAGAGAGAGAGGGAGACACAGAACCTGAAACAGGCTCCGGGCTCTGAGCTGTCAGCACAGAGCCCGACGCGGGGCTCGAACCCACGAACTGTGTGTTAGTGACCTGAGCCAAAGTCAGACGCTTAACCAACTGAGCCCCCCGGGCGCCCCTAGATCTTGTTTTTATTATGAAATGAGGATTGCGCTTCAAGAAGCACCTGGAAAGTGCTTCGCTTAGGCTTAGCTGCTGTGCTAATATTAATGAAAATTTTAATACTGACCTTTGAATACTTTTGAGGTCGTTTACTACCTGAAATGGGGGGGACATTTTGTAACTGTCTCCTCAATAGATTCTCCGTTCCCTTTTCCCAATGTGTCATTATTCTCCCCTCAATTTGTTTACACAGCTTGGAGATGGGGACAGAGTTCTCTGGCGACCGTGCAACTGAGTGCAATCACCCTAAAGAGAAGCATTTAGAAGCTATAAAACCTAAATGCCCTGTCATGCATCATTACATCGCACAGTTATTCAAATTTAGTAAATTAAATTAAATAATCTCAAATAACTTGATTTCGGGGCCTTAAAATTTCATCTCTATGGTGCCCAGTACTCCATTTCCTTTATTATTATTGTTCATCAAGTAGAATTTATGCTTTTTATGAATCAAAACCCTCGCCTGCCTGGCCGGCCCAAGCGGCTCCCAGCTGGCTCGGCGGAGTCGGTAGCTTGGCGCGCCACCTACCGGCCGATTCGGGCACAGCGGCCGGCTCCGGAGTCCTGAGAGCCAGGGCGGCCCCTCGCACGTGTCACCGTAAGACATCAGACAGGACGACGCTCCCAGTTCCCAGTTCCCACGGCTTTGTCGTCGTGGGTCACCTTGAAGTCGCGGGGACACAGCCCGGAGAGATTCGCTGCTGTTCCCGCAGACGCAGCGTTTGGTCTGTGCGGCTCCCATCCTGCCTTATCCA